ACTGCTCCTGCTGGTGCCTCCCACCTCCTGTGCCAGGGCCCTTGGCTACCCCTCTCTTGCCTGCAGCTGGGCAACCTTCCTCCTCATTGCCTGCATCTCTGGGTCAATGTCCTTTCTCCCCTCTGCTGGAGTCTCTCGATTGGTACTTTCTTCTTCCTCCAGTGTCTCTGGGTTGGTGTCCTCTTCTTTCCCCGCTGGCGTCTCTGGGTCAATGTTCTCTTCCTTCCCCAGCATCTCTGGGTCAGTGTCCTCTTCTCCCACCATTTGCCGCCCTCAGCTGTTTTCCTGGCTGCTATTTGAGCAGCTCGCGGTTTCCGGAGGCTCCTCCCATGTCCCTCGCTGATCTGCAGCTGTAGGTAGCTCTGGAATTGAGGGACCACTGCCCACGCTTCCTCCCAGCTGCCGCTCTCCTAGGGTGAATACCTGGGTGCATGGAGTGGGGGTCCGGGACCCCTTAGAGGGGCTTTCCCTGCCCCTCTCACAATTCTCTTGTGGAGGCTGAACAGGTTCAGGTCCTGTAGTCTCTCCTTGTAGGGCCTGCCCTGCTGCCCCCTGACCATTTGAGTGGCCCTCCTTTGGACTCTCTCAATGCTGTCCACATCTCTCCTGAAGTGTGGCACTCAGAACTGGACGCAGTACTCAAACTGCGGCCTGACCAGTGTCGCATAGAGTGGGAGGATCACCTCCTTGGCCCTGCTTGTGATGCATCTGTGGATGCATGACAAGGTGTAGTTAGTCTTATTGACCGTGTCCTCACATTGGTGGCCCATGTTCATTTTGGAATCAGTAATGACACCAAGATCCTTTTCTGCCTCTTTGCTGATGAGAAGGGAGTTCCCCAGCCTGTAGGTATGCTGCTGGTTCTTTCTCCCTAGGTGCAGTACCCTGCACTTGTCAGTATTGAATCCCATCCTATTCTCATCTGCCCACTCCTGTAACCTGTCCAGATCCAGTTGTAGCCTGTCCCTCCCTTCTAGCATTCCCACCTCTCCCCACATCTTAGTGCCATCCGCGAATTTGAACAAGGTGCTTTTCACCCCCTCATCCAAGTTGCTGATGAAGATGTTAAACAGTGTGGGCCTGAGGACCGAGCCCTAGGGGACCCCACTGCCCACATCCCTCCTGGTCAAAAATGACCCATCCACAACCACTCCCTGGGTGCAGCCCTCCAGTCAATTTGCGACCCATCTGACTGTGTAGGCATTGACACTACAGTCACCTAATTTTTTTTTTTCAGATACACATGGTCAGTGTTACATATTGTTGTTGTTGCTATTCCTACTACTGCTACTATAGCACCTAGGATTCCTAGTCAGGGATCAGGACACCATCATAGTAGGTTCTGTACCAGCAGTGAACAAAAAGACAGCCTCTGCCTTATTTTATAGTCTGTGCAGTTCTTATAAACAAAGAGCCTACCTGATTCTTTTTCATTCAAAGTTACACCACGATCAAACTAAACCTATTTTGAACTGTATTAGTAGATGTTACTGTTTTCTACCTTCTGATACTTCTTCATTCCCTTGTTTCTTGTTGGGGCTGGACACAGAAGTGTGAAGGAGCATGAGACTCCTGCTCCTATAAAACTGCTGTCCTGGGTGGAAACAGGAGCTTAAGAGAAAATTTAAGAGAATTTCCTTTCTTGTGAGCTTTTCAGACCAGTTTTTTAGACTCAATAAGTCAAAAATCTGAATTTTGTACCTGGATATTAGTCTAACTGCAGTTTGAATGTTTTCAAACACTGTCTCTAGTGTGTAAGAATTTCAGCCTCCCTCCCCAAACAATCTGGAATGATATATAACATTGCACTGGTTTAGCAGATGACTCACTAACTGCAACTTGGTGCCATGCACTGAAAAACTTGAACAAAGGCACTGTAATCTATTATTTCTGAGAATCTGGGCAATGCAGACTGCAGAGTGCTTTGCAGAAAAATGACAATACCAGGTGGGTCTCTCATGGGAAGAATTCAAACTCTTAATCAGTTTTGATGCATGGTTATTGTAATCTCTAGTTTTTTATGTTTATAAGGATATTCATACCATGGTATTTCCTTGATCTACAATACTTCTACTGTGTCTTGATTTTCTTTGGAGCCTCAAAACAATTGTCATACCTAGCCCAGTAAAAAACAATATGTGTATACACATATAACATGCATATGTCACATTATAGTTAGAGATACTCCCCTCTCCAATTGAGGGAATTATTGGCAGGGCAGTGTGCTGCGGAGGGACACAACAGCCCAGCTGCTGCCTCCATCCCCTATAGAGTCAGGCCCAGTCAATAAATTACTTAACTATATACAAATTTATTATTACAACAAAACTGTTAAAGGGTAAGGACATAGATTATATATATACGTGTGTACAAATTTAGAAAACAATAAACCCTATACCATATATATACCCTATACCATACACGCACACACACACACACACAATTATTATTGAAAAATACAGATGAACAATAGAACAAATGAGAACAAAGGATATTGATCGGGCAGCCTTATAACTCTATTAATATACAAACTATTACTTCAACTTATTCACATAAATTATAGGTACAGTCTACAAGTATAACCAGCCATCCTTAGACTACCTGGGTGCCCTCCAGGGCAGGGGCCCCACTCCCAAGGTACTACTATAGGAAAGGAGGTGGGGGGAAAGAAAAGGCGAGGGAGACCCCAAAGACTCCTAAGCTCCCCTGCTATCACCCAGGAGCGGCCCATGTGATGCCCCTTTGCAACCCTGGGGGGGTCCCTCCCCTGTGGGGACCCTCCCTCCAGGGTAACTTACTATACCACAGTCCCGGAGGGTTGCCTCCCATTCTCCAGGTCAAGCTCTGTTCCCCGCTGGACTTCCCTGCCGCCCGACTCTGCTGCTCCGGCCTGGCTTAGGGCCACATGCACTGCTGTGTGTAGTGGGCGCTTCGCCTTGTGCTAGGGGTTGGAGGCCTGGACAGCCTTGTACAGCATTGGGGCTTGGTCTGCTCATGGACCCTCTGGGCAGTGTCGTCTGCACTGAGCTGCTGCCCCCATGTCAGCAGCTGTAAACCCGAGCCACCTCACGTGGCTCCCAGGGTCTCTCACCCTCTGTGCAGCACTTCCTGTACCGAGCTCCCAGCCTCATGCTAGGGGTGGGGACCTGAGCTGCCCAAGGGGCTCCAAGGATCCTGCTCCATGCACTGGCCTATGCACCGTGTCTCTGGCCACATGCCAGAGGTTGCAGACCTGAGCTGCCTCATGCAGCTCCCAGGGTCTGGACGCTGTGCGCTGTGCTGCACACTGAAAGCCTAACTGCTGGAGCTGTCTGCCATTCCCCTCTGATAGAAGTCTTCAGGGGCTCTTCCTGGGCTATTGCTTTGCCCTGCTGAGCAGCTCTCCTCAGCTCTTCTAAGCCCTGCTCTTCTCTCTTCTCTGTCCCTGATGAATCTCCCTCCTGCTGGGCACACAGCTCCTTTTATACTCTCCAGGGCTCTGCCCCTGAAGTCTACCAGATCTGACAGTTTGCAGTATTCAATCAGGTCCAGGGGAGCTCTTCTCCCTCTCCCCTCAGGAAAGGGGTGTGACTTTATTTCTCTTGCTGCCTCCTGATTGGTGGATGGGCTCCACCAATTAAAACAGCAGGATCTCAAGCCTGAGACTCAACCCAAGCTCTAAAAGGTAAGCCTTCTACATTGCAAAGAAGGATAATGGCATACTGGGCTGCATTACTAGGACTGTTGCCAGGAGATTGAGAAAATAACTCTTCCCCATTGTTCAGCACTGGTGAGGCCACATCTGGAGTACTGTGTCCAGTTTTGGGGCTCCCCCCGTTACAGAAAGGATGTGGACAAATTGGAGAGAGTCCATCAGAGGGCAGTGAAAATGGTTACGGGGCTTGGTTCATAACTGTTGAGGAGAGGCTGAGGAAAGTGAGCTTATTTAATTTGGAGAAGAGAAGACGGAGGGGACATTTAATAGCAGCCTTCAACTACCTGAAGTGGGGTTCCAAAGAGGATGGAGCTAGACTGTTCTCAGTGGTGGCAACCCACTGTGCTCACAAGGCCTTGATCTTTATGCAGCACTGCCGCACCAACTGGTTGTGCCCATGCTCCCACATCTGGCCTGACAGGCTCTCATAGATGTAGGCATTGGAGCGCCTGCCCTGCTTGAACTGGCGCTGCACCCCGGCATGGGACTGGCAGCTGTGTGGCTGAGGCAAGGCCCCACAGCACCTGCAGGCTCAGGGCAGGCTGCTGGGAGTGGGCTTCAGGCAGATGGAGCTGGCCCTGCCAGCCAGAAGCTGCCTGCAGCTGGGCCTGGGGACTGGCAAGCCTGGCTGGAGCCTGCAGCAGCATGCAGCAGCATGCAGCACCCTGCAGGCCTGGATGGCATGAGCCTGGCAGGCACATGGCACTGTGGTGCCAGCCAGTGGTGCCGGGGTGCAGGCAGGCTGGGGCAGGTGGACTGCATCTTGCTCAGGGGAACAGTGGGATCTGGAGTGGCCTCAGGCTCCCTGCTGTTGTGCCCAAGGGCTCAAAATGCCTGCAGGCTTTTAAAGGCCTGAGGCAAAGGTTGCTATAGGGGCAGCCCAGCCCTGGGGCAGGAGAGTCTCTCAGCCCAGAGCCCTGGAGCTAGCCTGAGGCCAGCCCCTTAGTGGGAGGGCTGACCTGGGAGCAACTTTGCTCCTGGGTCGTGATTACATGTGTGTTACTGTCCAGTAACTAATTGCATGTAAATTTGATACCTGCACTTGCAGGTATCACATTTATGTGTGAGCAGGGGGTTTTACTGCACAGTAAGCATGCACATGTGTAGACATATGCGCTTACTGCACAGTAAACTATGGTACTGCACAGTTAAGCATCTTGTGTAGACATGCCTAAAGGGATTGTTGTTAGGGTCTCACTTACAAGACTGATTCTGTATTTATGTTAAACTCATCAACTAGGGAAAAAGTCCCAGTAATTAATAAAGAAATGTTTTGTCTCTTTCTCTTCTTGTTTCCCTTTTCTAGAAAAAACAAGTGAGTCAGACAAAGATCCGAGTGATCTCCACTATCCTCTTCATCTTGGCAGGCTGCATTGTCTTTGTGACCATCCCTGCAGTCATTTTCAAACACATTGAAGGATGGACAGCTTTGGAGTCCATTTACTTTGTGGTTGTCACTCTGACCACAGTTGGCTTTGGTGATTTTGTAGCAGGTGAGCATGGGAATTCCACATATAATCTAGGGGCACTAGGTATAAGTGCCTGGACTCCTACCTGTTGCTCCAAGGCTTTTACACGTATGTTGTATTCCACTGAACACTGTTCTGAATCTCTTTATCTGTATTAAGGTGCATTTGACAATAACCCAGGTGTTAACCCATCTGAAGAGTGCAAACTCCCAGCAATGTAAACAGTGCAAAGCTGGAGAGCTCAGAGTGTCTCTTATTATGGTATGAATTATTCATGAGTGATATGACTCCTCTGTTGAAACCAGAACTTCTGAATTGTGTTTGTCTATTTTGCATCACATTGATAAAGGTCCTAATGAACAAAGCAAATAGCTTTGGATGGCCATGCTCGTGTGTGCGTGAGCCAGGCAGTCCAATATAGCTGACCCTAGCTGAACAGCAGAACAATTTCCATTGCATGAGTTGCAGTTTCTTCAGAGGCATCTTTCAGGATTTTACTTTCCAGCCATGGTAGAAATTTGATATTGTAGCTATTTGATTAAGAAAAATTAACAGTGGAAGTGAAGGGGTAATGAGGAATGTGCTGGGATGCTAAGAGAGTTGTATGGTTTTTCTGGGATGAACACAGTACTAATAGGCAGGATAAGGATTGATCTTAATCATTTACCAAAGAGGGATCTGTGCTGGGATTGATGATCTGAGAGCTGGGGAAATGTAATTTACTATATAGTTTTGATGAGGAAAGTTAGACACTAAATAGATTCTCTCTTCCCAATGGTGCATGAGCCTTCCTTCCATTAAGATTCATGGACATAACAAAGGCAGACAAGGTTCTTTGGGTAAATCAGATATCTTTTATTAGACCAATTCAAATAGTTGATCTAATATATATATAATAATAAAATAAAAACCTTGCCTGTGTATGTCCTTAGACCAACACAGCTACAACCTATACCCCAAGGCATAACAAATGCTCTGAGATAAGGATGGATCCCTGTGTTACAAAGAGATGTGCTATATTTGTCCTCTTATTTCCTATTATACTAATGAAATCTGAGTTAAAAAAATTCATATACAGCCATTTGGAGATCAGTTTTCTTGCTACAGAGTAATTTCTTTTTTAAAATGTTCCTCCTTGCTCCTTTTTTGTTCACTTTTGATACAGAAGACATACATTATATGTGGAGATGTGCCTGAACTGAGCCCCAGATCCAAATATACTGGAACTTAAGGAATGTTCAGAACTAAATCTGAATGTTGCAACTTTGGCCTCTCAGGAACCATCTGAGCATAAAGAAGTTTCTACTGTTAGTTGTTATAGAACCAGAATGTTACAAAAGAAATGTGAGAGTTTCCCAATACTTTTCCCTGCTTTGCAGTACTTTCCCTTTGCCACTGTAATTGAAAAGAAAAACAATTCTAAAAAAAATAGACCTTTTATTTTAAAATATTGTCCTACATTTAAGGTGGATAAATCTAGCAGCATGCAGTAGCACCCAACTAGTGTGTTGCTAGAGCCAAAAAGGAAATATGGCTTTTATGGAGTAAAGCAGTGTCAACAGAGGTATGTTGATTTACACTATCTGAGAATTTGGCCCAAAGTCTTTGTAAGCTGAAGTGTTTTGTAAGTGTTTTTACAGCTCTTGAACATAGTGGAAAATATATCACAAAACAGTATTTGATAGGCTGCAGAAACATGATGCTATGCTTCATTCACTGCCTGGTTACTCCATGTGACAGACCAAGGCAATCTGCTTTACAGCAAGCTTCCACTGGGACATGTGTGATCAGAATGGCCTCATTGTGCCATAGCAACGGCGGCCCCCACCTTCCATCGTTTCACACGGCTGAGAATTGGAAAGGCAAAGTGATTCATACAGTGTATAGAGGGAGATTAGCATCAAAAACAAAATTTGGGGCCCTGCCAACCCTTGAATGCCTGGGCTTTCATGGGAGTGTTCAATCATTGTAAGTACACTCAAACCTAGTCTGGGTAAAATTCATTTTAAGGGTTTATTAGAATGTATCAGATTGCAAACAGGCTGTAAAAGCTCGGGGTGGGGGAGCATTCCATTGTAGCAGCATGCAATGTCAGTGCAAAAAAATATGAACATACACACCATATTTTCTCGCATACTATATGCCCCTGAAAGAGATACACACCTTGTTTTGGGGAAGGCATAATGAGCACAAAAGAAAAAAGAAAAAAAAAGATTTTCCTGGAATTATGACTTCAGTAGAGCAGGGCACAGCTCATTTGCACTCTGTTTTCTGCACAGGCAAAAGGTACTATTTAACCCTTTCGCAGCTAAATTGGTAGCAGTATTTGGCTACTCAGACAAAAGGTGAAAGTGTTGCTGCTGCTGAAGACTGGACTCCATAGGCAGATGTAGGATTTTGAAAAGAGCTAAAATAGGCTGCAGGGTTGTGAAATAGGAAAGGAGAAACCAGGAGTAGCTAACAACCAGCAAAATTGCTGAAGAAAGACTAACTTGATTAGTGGTCCATCAAGATTGTTAAAAAGGAGTGTGTGGAGTGAAGAATGGTTAGCAGGAATCAGATAGTTTAGAATTAGCCAGTTCACTCCTTCAGTGACACAACGGACTCCCTCTGTCAGCGGTGCCTGAATAGAAATGCCACTGCTGCCTGGCAGCTGGTTTTAAAATTTGGGTGCAAGAAGAATCAAAACAGGGTATGATCACACCTCTTCCCCCCTCCACCCCTGCCCCCACCATTGTTTTGCCCCTGCTGGACTCTACCCCTCTCTTCATGCTGCTGCTGAAGGGAAGAGGAGGAAAAGAAGCATCGGCCATCTTACAGCATCCTCATCTTTCTATTCTGGGCAGAAAATGAGCTTCCCATCTTAAGAAATGCACTCGGGCTTTGGAAGACTAATTTTGGAAGGGAATGGGGCCTGTGGTATGGGAGTAACTCAAAGACATTTTGCTTGGCACGTGTGCCTCTGGGTGGGTGTTTTTAGCACTCTAGATCCACTAAAGAACTCAGGTATTTGAAGTAGAATTTAGCTGTGTAAGTCTGCAGCTGCAATCCAAAACACTTCTGCTCAGCTTCTTCCTGACTCTAGATCCAGCTAAACTTTATCAGCCATTTCCTTTTTTGACAATAATATTACCTTGATGGTTAGACTTGACCTCTGCAAAAACTAGAAACCCTAACCCTAACCCTATACTCATCTCAGAAAATTTGTAATGTAAAGAAGAAAATTGTTGAATCATCAGCATCAAAATATTAGACTGCTTTGCAGGGTCTCCATTCAGGAAAAGACCATGTACACCAGACTAGACTCCCTTAATCGTCAGGTAGGACTAGAGGAAGGTACTGATTAGAACTTGAAAATACTTTCATGATTTGCCAGAAATACAGAGGACCTCCAGTTAAATATTTTGCTGTCTCATGGTTCTTAAGAATGAATAGAACAATGTCTGCTTATTGCAGGGGGAAATGCTGATATCCATTATCGGGAATGGTATAAACCTTTAGTATGGTTTTGGATTCTTGTTGGTCTTGCCTACTTTGCTGCTGTCCTGAGTATGATTGGAGACTGGCTAAGAGTTCTATCCAAGAAGACAAAAGAGGAGGTATGATTGCTAATTTCTCAATAATTTGTTACTTCATAAAAGTACTTGCCAGATTGCTGCTAGCCAGGAAAAGATGGTCTTGTATGTGGAACGGATGCTAAATTATTGCCTTGATTTAGCCTAGTCACTGCCTCTTTTCAAATCTATTTTGAAATAGGTGTCATGGTAGCAATTATCCTTGATTCACTTCAGCCAAAACACTATCCTTCACAATTGATAGGGAAGGGAAGAAAATAACTAGTGACTCAGGGTACAAAATGGAGGGTAGTTGCCATGGCTGAAACATTAAAGTCTGTTTTGTAGCAGATTAGCATAACTAATGTACTTAATTTAATCCCTTCATATAGCCATAACAACACCTACTTTGGGAGATTAGTTAGCAAATGCATAACCAAAGAACAGTTTGTCAGATTGGTACTGGCGTTTATCAAGAGAGTCATTTGTGAAGTCAGCTGATTCATGTGAGGCCAAATGTATCCCTGGTGTATCTCCAAGGAGACAAATGGAGATACATCATGGAAGAATTTGGTCTATGATAGTGGACTGAGTAGCTATATAAACCTAAATCCATTATATTCTGACTTATTCATTTGTCTTCTTTTTTTTTCCATTTCAGAAGAAATGTAACTTCTTATACTTAAGTCATTATTCTATATTTGTGTGCCTGAAGACAGTAACATAATACAGTTGAAAATGTTTAGGAACATTTGAGTGGAACTGTATTTTTCTTTGGACAACCCACAAGAAATGCTCTAACTGTTTTGAAAGCCCATGATTTGGGAAACAAACCAATTAAGAACTGGTATGGGGAAGAGCCTCCTACACTTTGGGATGGTATTTACAACATTTAAGGGTTTATGGAGACTTTATACTGCCACTAAAGATTGTAGTTAGTGACTTTCTGAGAAAGGGCAACAAGCTAGCTGCTAGATTGTCTGTCAGGGCAAGTCGTGACAAGCATGCATGTGCAGTAAGGCTGTGCGAAGCTTCGGGTGCTGATTCAATTCGGAGGAGATTTGGCCCGATTCAGTGGCCAAATCTCCGAATCTGAACTGAATCAGGAGACCAATTAAAAGGTTTGAATCAATTTGAAGCTCTCTGAATTGATTTGGAAAAGATTCGAAGAGCTTTGGGAATTCAGGCACTCCCTCCTGGCTGCGACAGGGAGCTGGACCCGGACTCCATGCTGGTAAGTAGGGGGTAGGAGGGTAAAGGAGGGAGGAAGGGACCTTGGGGGGACCTCTGCTAGGCCCCATCCCCTGCCTGCTCCCCAAGGGCCCCCCAGCACCCCCTGACCCTGGCCTGCTCCCTCAGCCTTCCCCCCCCCTCCCCATGTCTGCCTGCCCTGCCCAGTTCCCGGTTGTTTAAAAAAAACCAACCTACTCACTGGGTGCTGCCAGGTGGAGGGGAGGTGATCCCTGCTGCCCCCCACT